TAGAATATAAATGTCTTAACATGATAATTAAGAAGAGTAGTTGGTGGGACCACCTTATGGTGCATCTTACAAGGAAGGTTACATGTGAAATTTACAAGAATATAAATGTCTTAACATGATAATTAAGAAAATACCGTGAAGGCTAAGTTGACCAGTCTGATACAAACATTTCAAAGCATATATAAAACCAGCACATTGTACCCCATGATTGCTTTAATGTACACGGCTGTGATTTAATAAAAAATAAATAAAAAGAGATCATGTAATCAGAAAGAAGGGCTGAGGAGTCTCATGAAAAGTATCACGGGATGTGCAAGAACAACCCCAAGTATAGAGACAATCTATATTACTGAGTCTAAACGCTTACAACTCACAGTTGTTTATACCTTTAGAATATTTAATTTCAAGGAAATAAGTCCCCATGCATAGTTTCACATTATTTTTTATTACAAAGAAGAGAATCATGTTTCAGTAGTAGAGATAATTTTTGAGATATTTATGGAGAAAATCAATTTCAGCATTAAAATTTTATAGACTTTATTATCATAGAAAGAGCCTGATTTGCATTATGCTTTACTTAGGGGAAACTACTGAAAGACATGCTACCTTTCACAAAACACGCTGCCATTTCTCTGACCTCGCTGTATACTGATTCCTGTACCAGACTACTACTGGCTGGAAATGTAGGTAAGTAATCAGCTGTAATCAGTTACATGCTTCTTACCACCCTGCACGAAATAAAAATGGCTACAGGAAAATCTCATGCTCAAGCATGAGAGAGTGTTAGGAACAGCCCGCAGAACAAATGAATGTCAGGAGATCCTGTTTCATTCCTAGCTCTTGACTTCAAGCATGGCATTCTGTTTTTTCCATCTTTAAAATGGGTGTGTGTCTTTTGTTTTTATCTCTTGGCTTTAAAAAAAAAAAGAAAAGAATTGGTAGATGAAAAAAAATAATAAAGAAAGAAAGAATTGGTATATGTCTACACATCCTATATTTTAATTTGGGAGAAAGAATATAAAGTTTTAATTTTTAATCTTCATCAATCTTCATTGTTAAAGGGAGTAGAAATCTAAATCCATAAATGGATTATTTGTTCTGAGTAGGGGACTTTATACTGTATTTGTTATAATTAATATAGTTGATCTTAATTCTTTCATCAAATTCAATTCCTTTTCTAGTCTTCCTTTCTATTTCTCTTCTTCTGTCTTTTAAATTAACCCTAAATGTTCTCTTATTTTTCCCTCCTTTCCATACTTTGAAAAGTTATGTGTATGTGAATGCGCCTACATGTGTATAAACAGTTCTTAATTTTACTAGTGTTTACCTTCAAGCTTTTCAAAATAATTAATGTTAGAATTAAGATGAAACAACATATTTTCAGTTAAAAAGGGAAACTTATCCCACAATAACTTTCTCTTTTCTCCATACCTATTCCTTTGCTTATTGTTGCTAATAAAGTAATTTGCATACAGATTAGATATGCTATTATATTATTACTTAATCTTCATTCTCTTTCTTGAGAGCATTTTTTGATTTTTTTTTTTTGGCAGTTTTTGGCTGGGGCTAGGTTTGAACCCGCCACCTCCAGTATTTGGGGCTAGTGCCCTACTCCTTTGAGCCACAGGTGCCGCCCATTTTTTGATCTTAAAAGGTCAAACTGCTCTGTACTGTCAGTGATCTGAGTTGTTTAGATATTGTTGAAAATAATTGCTTATATTTGTATTCTGTATTATCATTAAATCTACAATATATATTTAAAGTTATCGCTATTTTTTTTTTTATTTGGCTGGGGCTGGGTTTGAACCCACCACCATATGGGGCCAACACCCTACTCCTTTGACCCACAGGTGCTGCCCAAATATTGAGTTTCTATTTCTCCTTGCAGTCCTATCAATCTTTGTTTCATGTATTCTGATACTCTCTTGTTAGGAATGTACACATTAAGGATTGTAACATCTTCTTGGAGAATTGACCCTTTTATCATTAGATAATGTTTCTCTTTATCCCTAATAATTCATCTTGCTCTGAAGTCTGCTCTATCTAAAATTAATATAGCTACTCCTGCTTTCTTCTAATTAGTGTTAGCACAGTATATCTTCTTCTGTTCCTTTACTTTATACTATATATATGTATATAAATATGTATATATATGTATTTATACAGAGGGTGCAAAAAATGTGTTTTAAAAAAGGAAAAAACTGTATTAAATTTGTAATACTCAAGTTTGACCTCTGCAATTATGTGAAGTGCTCAATGTGACTTGTATTCATCTTCGATTATCAGTATATATTGAATATTACAATTTTAATACAGTTTTTTCCTTTCTTAAAATTTTTGCTGGCACCCTCTGTAAAGAAACACACACAAGTTTCTTGTAGACAACATATAGTTGGGTCATGTTTTCTTAGTCCACTTTGACAATTTCTTTATTTTAATTGGTGCCTTTAGACCCATGATTATTGACCTGTTTATTAATATTTATCAAATTTATTACTGTTTTTAATTTTTCCCCTTGTTCTTTGTGGCTGTTTTTGTCTTCCACTTTTTCTGCCTTTTGTGGTTTAATTGAGCATCTTGTATCTTTCTGTTCTCTTTTTTTTCTTAACGTACCAATTATACTTATTTTTAATTTTTCTGGTAGTTGCCCTAAAATTTAATGTATGTTTGCAATTAGCTCATGTCCATTTTCAAATAACACTACGCAATTTCATGAGTTGTGGAAGTATCTTATAATATTAAAATATTCCTGACTTACCCCACCCTTTACGTATTACTGTCATTCATTTCAAGTATTCATAATTATAACATCAACTACATTGTTGCTATTACTATGTTGTATAAACTTTTATCTGTTAGATCAATTAAAAATAGGAAACATAAAAAATTTTATTTTATTTTCACTTATTTCTTGTCTAGTATTCTTAATTTCTTTAAGTAGATCTGAGTTTCTGATGATTATTTTTCTTCCCTCTGAAGAACTTCTTTCAACATTTCTTGCAAGGAAGGTCTACTGGTGACAAATTCCCTCAATTTTTGTCTGAGAAAGTCTTTATTTCTCCTTTACTTTTGAAGGATAATTTTGCTGGGTACATCATGCTAGGTTGGTGGGTATTTTTTCTTTTAACACTTTAAGTATTTCACACTACTCTCTTCTTGCTTTCATTGTTTCTGATGAGAAGTTTGTTGTAATTCTTGTGTGCGTGTGTGTGTGTGTGTGTGTGTGTTTTCCCACCTGTCTTACTTCAAAATTATTCCCTTTACTTTTGTTTTCATACAATTTAAGTATGATATGTCTAGGGTAGTCATTGCTTTTTAATATCTAGTCTTTGTAACTATCGTTTGGATTATAGGATGAGTATCTCTGTAACAGTTTAGACTCTGTTTGGTAGTGACATGTTCATTTCTATTATCATCCACCCTGATCTCTAGAAGAACTTTGACTCTGGATGGATAAAGCAAACTCATCATGACTTATTAAGCCTGAAGCAAGATAATTGCTATATATGAAAATGTATGCAAAATTTCTGCTTTTATTTCTAGCCTCTCAAATTCTATTTTTTTCCATTATAAATGCCTGAATCAAAATAACTTGGAAGTCTGGGTAATACTTATTTAGACAACATGATATCTAATTAAAAATCCCAATGTTTATATTTTATACAGAAGGACATGTTATCCTTTGCAGTATAAGTTCTTTCCTGGATCCACCACATGATGAGAAGGTAAGAACTGTAGTTATCCACTTTAATCAATGAATGATCATGTATTTATTAAGCACTTCCTTGTGTATCTATACCATGAAAGATAGAAATATAAGACTCCCTACTTTTAATGCACATATATTATTGAAATTTAAGCTCATGACAAATAACAACGGTCTACTTGTGAAAAAAGGAGGTGAATAAGTGAGTGAGGGGCAGAGAAAGTGAATGAGGAAGCCAGACCACTGGTCACTTTGCATCTTCTTCATGTTTTGACTTATTTGTGAAAATTTATATGGCATTCCAGAGGTTACAGAGTTCATAGGTTATCTAGAGCTCCACAGTCAGTGCCAATATCTTATACATGTCCATAAGGCATTCCATAACCTTCCTTGCAAACATAATGTGGAACCATTCAAGAAACTCTTCTCAGCTCTAGTCTAAATCCTTCCTATAATTCAGGCACGTTTTATTCTATTTTTAGAGTTAATATTATGTAAGCGTCACTACACTTATTTTATAAACATTTAAATATGAGTTTCTTGTGTGTATGTGAGTACACAAATATATCTACATAAATTATAGAAAAAGACCCAACATTACTTAAAGACTGCACCAAGGAAGGACTATTTGACCATACTCTTATTTTCCTGTAAGTTAATACTTCAAACCCAGAAGCCAAATATGTGGTATTAGCTTCAATACTCATGTTTTATTTTTGGATCACAGGTATTAACATGTGGATACACAGTGATTAAGGTTTGATTCCTTGCAGAGTGTCTTATAATAGTTATTATTTTAAACATTTCCTTTAATCAATGGAGTATTCTTTTTCTTTCAAAGAATCCATTCTAACTTTTATACTGTGCCAATCTCCACCTAGGAGCACATAGGTAGTTTCAGGGCCAGAACCAGGGTTCTTGTTTTCTAATCCAATGCTTTTTCCATATATAAGATTTATACTCTCAAATGGAAAATAATGAGGTTTAAACAACTTGCAAAACACTAAATTTCATTTACCAATCACTATTATTGCTTATAATCAAGAATGCTGTAAGCGGAACTAAAACAAATCATAGGTTTGAACAATATATAGGTGAAAGTTTTTTTTTTTTTTTTTTTTTTTTT